GTAGAAAAAGAAAAATCGTGTTGGATAAAAGAAAAACGTATTTTCAAGATAAACCTCACAGAGGGAGGATAAACAGAGAAGTGAATGTATTCAGATTCAAATAAGAACAATACGAGTTGTCTGTCCCGCATACACTTACCCGATGGTGCCTTTTCTTCCTGTGGCTCGTGGCAAACACTGCAGAAGAGGGCAGTCAGGGAGGATGTAAGGCTAATTAGCCACCCATGGCCAAAATCACTGCTGAAAACGGCGTGATTAGCAAAGAGGACGTAAAAAAGATCCTCCCTTTGCTACAGTCGAGGTGATAAAAAGCATATGTCAAGCACAAGGATACTTGAAAGGAAAGGCATATTTTTTTAGGTCGGCAGAAGCTCATCAAGAGGATGACAGCCATTTGGTGTGTAGAGAAAAGCAAAGCAGACAGAAACGGCGGATTTATAATAGAGACATTAAAACTGTCTGTAGCACCCACTTTCGACAGAGATGACAGTTTAACGGTCAGGTAGCCTACTTTTGTACAGGTGGCTTCGAAGTCAGTGTTAATTTAAGGTAGGTCGCTCCCTCTTTAAAGTTAAACGCGAGGATGTGAGTGGTGTATAAAGGTCAATGGAAGTATTTTTCGTTTTAAAAATTTTATAAAGGGAATTTTGTTCACTCTGTTCTTAAAGCGAAAAGGTGAGTGTATACCTGTCAAAGGAAGCACTGATAATATATCTATAATTTACAAAGGTAATTCAGGTCGTAAAGCGAGGACGTGTGGGCTTGAACAAAGATAGATAAAAAGGATGTTGATTTTATGTGTTCTGGAAATGAAAACTCGCGTCTTGCTTCCACTTTGATGTCCATTCTTTGATGTGTGTTGGCCCCGTGTCGGTGACGTGAAAAATAGCTGATGTTTATATTTGTGTTTGTATACATTAAACGCCTTCTAGAACATTGTATCCGGCACTGGTGGTGAAATGGTTAGGCTCTGTGTTGTTGCACGCAAACACACGGAAGATCGATTCCCGTGAGGGGGAGTTTTTTTTTTGTCAGGCATCTTCGTCTGTCGGGTGGGATACTGCATGCCAGGGCTGGCCTTGATGGGTATAGTTAAACAGTTCGTGTCCTAATTGATATTATATAATGACATATAATATATTAAGTCGGTAGGAGCGTTGAACATTTACTATTCTAAATTGCAAAACTATATTGTTTAGAACTCCTTTTACTGAACAGGTTGTTTTTCATCAAAATAATATTCACAACTACGAGAGCTGGGCTGAAGACAATGTATGTATAGAGAAACGGCTTGCTTTCTTCGACAGAGCGCTTGTGACATGTACAGCCTAGGTGGTCTGTCAAGCACACAGGCACTTGAAAGGCAATTTGAGTGTTTTAAAAATATAATTTCCATGACCCACCATTCACCACCGCCAACAACATTAACAACAGCAGCAGCAACAACAACATGCCCCCCTCCAAGACACGGCTTAGCAATGTTGGAAGCCGGTTGCTTCCACCCTGGCAGCCAGAGCTAACCGCGGGTTGGAGCGTCTAACTAAAAGGTGGAGGTATTCGACATGGAAATCAAGTCTTTAGTGGGCAAGACGAATAACATAGCCATTACATCACCCGTGTCTGTGAATGTACTATGTCTTCTTTATTGCTTCTGCTGATACTGCTACTGCTGTTGCTGCACTGCTTCTGTCGCAGCAGTTGCTGCTGCTTACTAATGCTACCACCACAGTAACAACAACGACAACCATGTTGTTCATATTCTTATTTGGAAATGAGCTCTGTACGCGCTTAATGGCAAGGTGCAAGTCACAAGTTAATAAAATGACACTGTGTTCCTTTTTGTAGTAGGGTTTGAAAAATAAAACAAGTGCAACTATACTCTTGAGACTCGATTCCATTACATGCAATTTTTTCCCTCTTTCTTCAACAGATATCTCAACCATGGACCCTCGGATATCCCGTTTACAAGACGATCAAGTGGCTTTGGTAAGTGTTTTCTCATTAAAAGGTTCCTAAGCCCAACTGCTTTTCAGTTTCCCATTTTCCTCCCCACACGCAATAACCCCCCCCCCC